TAGAATGAGAGGCTATTAAATTGTGTTACACTCCATTTTTAAACCCATTGTGAGGTGGAGGAATGATAAGATCCAAACCTTAATCAAAAGGATTCTTATGAGTGGGAGTCCCAGGGCAACAGCCTGAAATAACACTTCGATACACTGGAGAACTAATAACTGTGGCAGCAGTTATACCATCACCAATTGTGAGAGAATTGCTAGCCTTTTATATTGCCCTGATCACTTTGTGTATGTCTTAGCAAGGGAGTCATTGTGGCTGAAATAGTGCTAATATCTTCTACTGTGTGCCATTGAGGCCCTACACCAGAAGATTCTATTTCCTTCTTTCCCTCTATGAGAGGGAACAGTGGTGTTTGGCATTAACTTTGTAGTTGGAATGAATTTATTCCATGAAGCAGTCTGTAGCACTGGACGCAAAGTATATGGCTATGTGGACACATAGGATATATATGACACACTCAAGAGTCACTGTGGTGACATTAACAAGTTTGTGAGGCCCTAGATGGGGAATGAATTGTTAGTTGTGAATGACTTTGTGCTACTTATGAGGTGGGCTTTGGAAATAGAATCTATGTGCATAGTCCCACATGGATCCTTCAGGCCTACATATGCCTCCTCTTCCTCATCACTGCCAACCATGCTGTTGGTCAGTCCAGAAGACACCCATTTCCTGGGCTAGGGGAGAGATAGGAGATGCAAGCAGACAGCAAGGGTGAGGAAGATGACAGGAATCTGGGGATCTTGTCCATGGGTGCTCCATTATTGCATTAGCTACCAGAGAACTGGGTGGTCAAGCTGGGTGGTCTTTAATCAGCAGAGCCCTGAATTTTCACCTGGGACCTAGTTTGGCTTTCTCACTAATTACTTGTGTGGGCTTGGCCCCCTTGATGATGGGAGTAGCAAAATTCTACAGCTCCTATAGAGGACAATTTGTCAATATTTATTAAAATTATAAAAGCATTTACTCTTTGACCCAACAGGCTAGTTTGTTGCAGCGTCATTTTTCGTAGCAAAATACTTGTGTATAATCCAAATATAGATCAGTAAGTGACTTCTAATATAAACATGTCATGGCCACTTGATGGAACACCATGCGGGAGTCCAAACATGAATGAGGAGATGCTCTATGTATTCAGCTGGAGAGGCCTCCAGAACTTGTCATTAAGTGAAAAAAAAGCATGGTGCAGAATAATGTGCAGAGGATGCTGCCTTTTATCTAAGAAAGGGTGGAAAACCAGAGATACATGTTGGCATTTGCTATTTGCTTACATCTGGCAATAAAAAGGAAACTTGAGAAGTTTACCCTTAAAGGTCCAGAAGAAGAAGGATGGGACAGGGACAGGGATGTGAGATTTCTCACTGATGCCTGTTATCATACAGCGACATGTGTCCTTGGCAGAAAGCAGGAGCAGCAAGGCTACATTCTACTATCTCTCTGATACCACTGGAGGGAAACCTGTTGAAAAATGAATGTATATTTGTATAGTCAATTTAAATTTTTTTCTGCTTCAGTGGAGAGTAGCCTTGGTAGGATATCTAAAATTACTGGTATATGCTCTAGTTTGGACCATTAACCTTTCACAATTTAGCTTCTGACACCTTTGGGAGGCAGTTCTGATAGCAAAGTTCCATCTTTAAATATAAGGGGCATGGGAAACAGAGGAAGACTAATGAGTCAGTGAGTCAGGGAAATGAAAGGTTGTATTATTTTTATATGAGACCTATGGAGGTAAGATGTAATGACATCTATTTAATATTTACAATATATCCGAGTGCTTATGCCTGGCAACATTGCATAGGAGTCAGGGAGTGGTGGGAAGATCCGCTCCTCCCCACCCTTTACACACACTCAGACATAACCCTGCACTCAGACATACCCTCGATTGGTCTTGCCAAGAATCAAGAAGTCGAGAGGCTGGTGCACAGACCTGACAAGATGCAGTGCTGCCTTTCCTGGCTCCTGGCTTTCTGTGGCAGGTAAGGGCAGGTAGCATCCTGCCAAAGTTGAGAGAATTAGAGTTCCCGCTGCACCTCTTCCATTTGGGCTCACATTATTATTCTGAAGAAATTTTTACTAATCATTTCTGAGGTCCCAGCTGAGGGAATGCTTCTTGTGGGTTTTCCTCATTCTCGAACAAACTCAGCATCCTCATTCAGGAGAGAAAGCAGAAACAGTACCTAAAACTCCAACGAGGATCTCTGCCTCTGAGCTCCTGCGGGTCCTTTACACCAACTACTGGGTGGAATAGCTGTCATTGTACCCAGTGGGGGTATGAGACATCAGGGGCTCCCATAGGTTAATTAATCCACCCATGATTTTACAGGCAAAAAGGTAGAAATCTGAGACTTCAATTCTAAGGTGCTCTTCTACTCATAAAAGGGTACGGTCTTTTTTTTTTTAGTTTTATTCATTTCAAATGGGCCAGATCTGGCCCGTGGGCCGTAGTTTGCCCACGGCTGTTCTAGGCTCTTGGATGTAATCTCACAGAGTTCTAAGGCAATTTTTAAAAAGCTCTGAGCTTCATTTGTGAATATGGTTTAATAAATTATTATGTCCAAACCAAAAAAAAAGAAAGCACTTTAGCATTATTTTTCATTAGATATATATAATACATGTGCATTTCTTTTTCCTTTATCACCTCAATAGGAGGTTAGTCTAATGCATAATGAACCTATATTATTTGGACATGTTTATAAAAAATACATAGTATTTAGTGGATTTTTTTTTTCATTGACTCCTGATACTTGAAATGTGAAATAAGCCATAGTCAATAGGGTTTTGAATTGATTATTCAATGTCACATCTTTTAATACAAGATGCATGTCAAGATGCTTTTTAACCCGATATAATAATTCTTACTGTAATTTTGAGGTTTGAGGGATAAAACAAGATGTAAGTGTATTTCTTGGATAATATAAAGATATTCATGACCAGAGATTTAAAAAAATTACTGTTAATGTGTTAATGTAACAAATTATTAGAATGTATAAAAGAATATGGTCTTTGGGAAAAAATTGCACATTAATATAACTTAGTTTAAAATAATAACCATTTATATTTGAAGTGGATCCATAGGCTTCTCGAAAAATGGAATTTTGTTCTTTTTGACTTTTACCTGTTTATGTGAAAGAAGCAGAATTAAAGAACTGAAGATGTCTTTAAAGTAGTAGAACAAATAAAATGACTGGTCTGTGAATTTGACGTTCTATGTAGGGTCATATAGATTTAAAAAGGAAACTTTTAGTGAAGGATCTGAGGAAGTAAAATGGATTAAAAACGTCCAAAATTTTTGACAATTTGTGTTTCCTCTCTCACTTTCTGTGATATGATCAATTAATATTAATCATATTTTTGGATTCTGAAAAACTTTGGCTAACTTCCTTGCCTTTTCCTGCTTTGCTGGGTGTATTTTTCAGTGCATGGAACAATTAAACCTTTCATTGCTACTGAGAAAGCCACTGGTAGGCTAGGAAAGCAAGGGCTGTGTTGACTGAGGTATTTTTTAAAAATATTTTTTAAATTAATTTCAGAGATGAAAGGAGAGAGAGAGGGAGGGAGGGAGGGAGAGAGAGAGAGAGAGAGGAGAGAGAGAGAAAGAGAGAAACATCAACGATGAAAGAATCACGCCCCCTCCTGGGGATTGAGCCCATAACCCCGGGCATGTGCCCTGACTGGACTGGCAATCTGACCTCCTGGTTTATAGGTCGATGTTCAACCACTGAGTTACTCCAGCTGGGCAGTGGCTGAGGACTTGACCCAAAGAAGAGCGAGGGTTGATGCAACCAACATGTGGAAAATCTATCTTAAGAATTTATTCAGTAGAGGGGGGTGGGTGGAGGTGGAAGAGAGCATAGAAGGGATAAATGATAATGGGAAAAATAAAATAAACTACAATAAATTAAAAGAAAATAATTTATTCAACATTAAACATTTTTACTCAACAGTTATAATTTTATCTAGTTTTAGAAGTGGTGAAGTAAAAGCCCTTCAGCAAAAGAAGGTTTCTAGAGAAAGGATGAGATCATCACATCACTTTTCACTTCTACCTTGTATGTTGATGACACCATCAGTACCAACAGCTCAGATGGGTCCTGTCTCTAGGGAGGCTCAGTTCCCCATAGACTTCATGCAGTAGGGATTTAGTTTGGTGCTAATAAACACTGATAATAGCATCACTTTAATCAACACTTGTATTTTGAGGGCTTATTAATCTCTTAATTTTTTTTCTCTAAGGGAAACTTAAGATTTTATAGGTGTGATATAAAGCTATAAAAACTATGCTATTTATTTAGACTGTCCACAGGAATAAAATAAGGGCATATAAATAAAATTTATTTGTGTTCTCCTCAGGTACATAGGTGACATTTAATTATATGATGATGAAATCATCATGTTAACCCTTCTTTCTTTTGGTAAAATTTGAGCTAAGTATACAAAACCACGTACCCAAAATTAATTGTTTTTAATTGTTTTCAGAAGGTGATTTGTGCTTATCTACCAAGAGTTCCAAAAAGAATGACAAAAATTGTTTTTCCCGACAGGCCTTCTGAGTTATATAACCCAATGCTTCACACATTTCTGTTTGCCAGCAGAATTGTCTCTGGAGCTTTTTAATAAGAATATTGGGCCCAGCCAGTGTCGCTGAGTGGTTTAATATCGACACATACACCAAGAGGTCACGGGTTCAATTTCTGGTCAGGATTGCCAGCTTGTTCCCCAGTATGGAGTGTGCAGAGGACAGCTGATAGATGTTTCCCATCGATGTTTCTCTCTCTCCTCCCTTCTTCTCTCTCCAAAATTAATAAAAAATATATAAAAAATAAAAGTATGTTAAAAAAGGAAATCTTTGAGGAAAAAAAAGAATATTGGTAGGGGATTATTTGTCCCAAAGATGAACAATCACACAGGTATACAAACACCTTCTTCCCAGAATTCAATTGGGAATAAGCCGTTGGTCTGCTAGGAGCTTCTGTATAGAAAAGTCTGGACTACTCAGGGGGTTTGTAGACGTTTTCCCAATGGCCTGCACTGGGACCAGCCTTTTTTCCCAGTTAGAAAAAATGTTGGCAAAATCCACTCAGTAATGAAAAGAAATGAGCTATTGATATGTACAGCAACCTAGGTGAATCTTAAGATAATTATATTGGGTGAACAAAGCCAGATAAAAAAGAGTATATTCTATATGATTCCACTTTTCTCCTCTATAGTGACAGAAAAGAGATCAGTAGTTTCTGGGGAAAATGGGGGTGAGGAGAAAAGAAAGGTCGGGGCGATGGGCAGATAGAATTACAAAAGGACATGAGGAAACTTTTTGGGGTGATGGATATATGTTCATTGTATTTATTGTGATGACAGTTTCATGGATGTTTACATGTGTCAGCATATGTCAAATTATACACAATCTGTGCAGTTTAATATTTGTCTATTATACTACATGTATAATAAAGGGGGAAATATTGTATTACTATTCTAAACAGAAGTCAGTTATTCACTTGCCTCAGATAGCAGGGAACTAGAAAATAAATACATCTAAAACAGAACAATGAAAGGAAAATCTACCTTCTTCTATGTAATTCGGGGCATAGGAAAGATCCCCTTGTCTCATAATTCCCTTCTCACTGGATTTTCAATTCTTGAAATATCTTTTTTGATGGGCCGGGAAATGTTTTAATTGTCAAGAGTAGGAGTTTTGGAGTCAGGCAGACCTGGGTTTAGCTTAGTCATTTGCTAGCTGTGTACCTTTGGGCAAGACACTAACCTTTCTAATAGTTTTTCTCCCTGTTTATGAAATGAAATGATAGAGGTAGGCATAGTAAATGCTCAATAAATGGAAGCAAGTTTTGTTATTATTTTTATTTATTTCACATTCTGATTCACACTAGGTTTTAAAGGCAGATATTCTTGGATGAGAAAAGACAGTATTTTAAATTCACAGAGGGGCGTGTTACCATGGAGAAACATAATCAGGAATGTTGCCTCAAAGAAGAGAAAGATCATGACCCAGAGTGAAAGGAGCATAGGTTCTAGACTCTAGAGACTCTAGACGAAACAGTCGACCTTAATTAACAAACAAATAAGCAAATAGGCAAAAACCTTTATGTAGGGCAGTGATGGCGAACCTTTTGAGCTTGGCGTGTCAGAATTGTGAAAAACCCTAACTTAACTCTGGTGCCATGTCACATATAGAAATTTTTTGATATTTGCAACCATAGTAAAACAAAGATTTGTATTTTTGATATTTATTTTATATATTTAAATGCCATTTAACAAAGAAAAATCAACCAAAAAAATGTCATAGGTTCGCCATCACTGCTCTAGGCCATAGGTGATTTGCCCACTTTTGTGTGTGTTTTTCACATTAGGCGTGTTCTCATCTGATTTCTCTGCTTTTAGTAATCTCTGTGCTTTGCAGGCTTTGCTTTGAATTCATTAGTCTTTTCCTTTGTTAGATAATATCATTGTTATAAGTACCATATTTATGATTGCTTATTGAGAAATTCATTCTGCCATTTAGCATGTACTTTGTTTCTTTAGAAGTATGTTTAGCAGTCATCTGTAAAAAAAAGTTTTGACTTTTTAAATGTTTTGCTTAAATTCAGCTGATTTTATTTTAACTTTTATTAGCTCATAAACTTTAATTTAAAAATTATGGAAATGAAAATTAATTGTTTTATTCTAAATTGGCCATGTTGTTGATATGCAAATTTGACGAGCAATACAGTAAAATATTTTTACTTTAACTCTGAAAAGATGCCATTTACATTTATAGGAACTAGTAGAATTATCTGCTTTCCCATGATCTTGACCTAATTTTTTCATCTGCCAGATACTTGCACGGATTTGACAGGAGATTGATTTGGCTTTAGAGAGTCCTGGAACTGCACAAAGTGTTTTTCATATTGGAAAAGACATACCCAGTTTTTTACAAGTTTTAAGATTTATTGCCTCCCCCTAACATGTTACAAATTAATTTGTTTGCTATTTGTTTTAGTTAGAATGTAGAAATTGGTGTCATTAGCCAAAGGATAAACCTGATCCCAAGAATGGGCAGACTGCCTTTTAACACTGTTTTTATTTGGTATCTTTGCAGGTCTGGACATTAGATGGGTAGACTGCTACTTTCCTTTTACTCACCCTTCCTTTGAGATGGAGATCAACTACCATGGAGAATGGCTAGAAGTTCTTGGCTGTGGAGTGATGGAACAACAACTGGTAAATTCAGGTAGAAAAGAATCCAACATTTTATTTACAGGCTCTCTTAAAAACCACTCTCCTCTCCTTTAACCTTATTTACACACTCATTTACATAGGCATTTACATATTCCTGTAGGGATAGCCTTACCATCTTCCTCATAGTGCCCTCCAGACTTATCTCCGACACTCAACTCTAGAAGAACTTAATCTCAAACACTTAATTTTGTTATGGTTTCTGTTTTTGGAGATCTTTCTTGTCAGCACTTTGCTGTTCAATTTGTACTTTGTCATTTCGTCTTTATTGGTATGTTGCTTTTTAATTGGCCCGCCAATGTTTGATGCATGTCATATACGAGTGCTGTTTGTGTTCCGAACTATTTAAGAATAAAGCCAATGTATTATCCTTTTTTGTTCATATTGCATTTAGAATAATGCCTAAATTCAACAGATATATCATAAATACAATAAAACACACTATAAAAATACTTAAGAGGTTCTCAATGTTGACAGTGCCACCTGATTGAGGATAAGTTGGAAGACAGGATCGCTGATTGAATTCTATATATAGGTACTTAAGAAAGTTCTTTCCAGCTCTTCTCTTCAGGACCATTGCTTAATAAAAATGATTATTTCTAAACTTAATTTCAGAGCTGTGATTTTTTAATTTTAAATTTTTATTTCAGAGAGGAAAGGAGAGGGAGAGAGAGATAGAAACATCAGGGATGAGAAAGAATCATTTATAGGCTGCCTCCTGCACGCTCCCTACTGGGGTTCGAGCCCAAAACCCAGGCATGTGCCCTTGACTGGAATTGAACCTAGGACCCTTTAGTCTGCAACCAACGCTATATCCACTGAGTCAAACCAGGTGGGGTGAGCTGTGAGTTTTATAATGTCTTCCATACTTAAATAAAAACAAAACAAAACCCCAACTCTTAGTCAACCAAGTCACAAACATAGTAAAGAAACGAATTAATTAATTTATTGGAAATCTTGCAAAAACATTCCTCATTTTTATACTTGGTAGAGTTACTGTCACCTATTCACCTTTGTCCATCTCAAGCTTTCCTTCATAAGAAGTGTCATTAGAAGCAGGTTTGAAGTCATCTAAAAATAGATACAGATAAGGATTTTCATACAGTGAACAATACTTGAATACCTGGATCTAAAAAATAGCATGTTTCCAAGCGATAAGTCATTTATCAACAATCAGTAATTAAAATGGCTTAGAAGCATTTTTATATCACAAAATATTTAAAAAGTCGCCATTTGAATTTAATTTAAAACATATTTTTTTAAGAGTATAAATCCCTTCTGGGAACTCAGTTGAGATTTGAGCAGGGGCTGATCGCATAAGGAGTAACTGGAATGGAAGAGATGCATATTGCAAAGTGCACTCTGCCCCTATATCCCACTAAATCCCCACTCAGCTTCTGTAGAAGGACATTTGCTCTGTGGTGTGAGAGGCCAGTGGGTCAGGGTTCAGGGTTGGTCACAGGGCTTCCTACAGCAGAATGGAGAAGAGCTGCCCTTCTTGGTGACTAAGAAATGTTGATAGACCAGTGGTCAGCAAACCGGGGCTCGCGAGCCACATGTGGCTCTTTGGCCCCTTGAGTGTGGCTCTTCTCCAAAATACCACGCGCGGGCGCGCATGTTCAGTGCGATTAAAACTTCGTGGCCCATGCGCAGAAGTCGGTTTTTGGCCTGGGTGAGTCTATTTTGAAGAAGTGGCATTAGAAGAAGTGGGGGTGTCGGTCGGCTGATGGGAGACGTGGCGCAGGCGGGCCTCGGGATATGCAGCGCGGGGGAGGCACCAAATATCAACAGTACTTAAACTATATAGGTAGGTTAATAACAATGTACCTGCCTATATAGTTTAAGTTTAAAAAAATTGGCTCTCAAAAGAAATTTCAGTCGTTGTACTGTTGATATTTGGCTCTGTTGACTAATGAGTTTGCGACGACTGGGATAGACCGTAGATAACATCATGAGGTTAGAGAATAAGAGCAGAATAAGATGGAAGAGATGAGGTGGCAGTGAAGTGCAGGAGTTTGTATTATTTGGGCTGGGAGACCAAAGACCTGGCCTTCCCTTCTTACTCTTAGGTAACCTCACCTGCAGGGCCTGGACTCAGTCAGCTCAGATTCTTGTCCATTCTGCGTAGGAAGGCTTTGGGGGAAGCCCTGCACTCTGCCAAGTTCTTCTTGGATACTTTTCAAATACTTGCAGATCTGTATTAGAGAAGAGGGAGCACAGAGATCACAAATTAGGGCCTGTGCAGAAAAGTTTTGAGGAATGAGCTTAAAAATTTTGAAGCCTGAGGGTAAAAGTTTTGAGGCCTGAGTTTGGGTTTGGTAAGTTGACAGCTGTGTGCCTTCAGGCACGTTGCTTAACCCCTGAGAGTCTTGATGTTCTCATATTAACACCTTGTGGACCAGTAGTTTTATTGCTAGCTTTACCCACTGGCCAGATAAGTTTCTATTGAACGAGTTTTACACAAATGTTAAAGGCACGCTTTAAAATTAAATACCCATTGCATTTTGAAGTTATTTCTTACACGTTCTTACAAGGTAATATCTTTTTAAAGTATGATACTTTGTAAAACACTGTGTAATATGAAGCAAGAATTCTCGTGATCTGTCCGCAATGTGTTAAAATGGGCACAGTGACTCTTTCCTTAACGTTTTATTATGAGGATTAATGGAGGCAGCTAGTAAACATTCAGTAAAAATTGATAATTTTAAAAAATTTTCAAATGACTAGAGCTATTTATCAACAGAGATACCCCATAATAGGAAATATTTAAACAGAAGCTGTCCTGCATATTATAGAAATGATTTATAACCAACTGGAACTAGATTACCTCTGATCTTAGTCATCTCAGGATCTCTGATTCTTGATTGAGTGATTGATTTGTGAGGGAACAGGAAAATTAAGAGTATTAAGAAACAGAAAAATCAGCTCTATAGATGAATAAGCATCTTAATAGAAAACAAAATATTGAGGGCATCTATGTAAGATTTAATCTCTTCTTGAGTAGGAGCTAGCTTCAAATACTTCTATGGTGTTTTGATTTTTTAGTTTTGCTTTCATTTTATTTCTCATTTTTATTTTAAATTAAATTTACTGAGGTGACATTGGTTAATAAGTATACAATTCCATAATACATCATCTGTATATTGGTTGTGTGTTCAACACCCGAAGTAAAATCTCCTTCTGTCACCATATATTTGACCCCCTTTACCTTTTACTACTGTTCCCTCATTCCTCTTCCCCTCTGGTAATCACCATGCTGTTGTCTGTGTCTATGAGTTTTTATTTGTTTGTTCATTTACTGTTTTCAGTTTTATATTTCACTTGTGAATGAAATCATATGGTTTTTGACATTTTCCATCTGACTTATTTCACTTAGCATGATATTCTCAAGATCCATCCATATTGTCACAAATAGTTTTTGATCTCTTCTTATGGCTGAGTAATATTACATTGTACATATGTACCACATCTTCTTTATCCAATCATCTATTGAAGAACATTTTGGTTATTTTCATGTCTAGGGCACTGTGAATAATGCTGCAATGATCATAAGGGTCTGTGTACAGGAATTGGTAAAAATAGGTTTATAGTTGTAAGTATGCAAAACACAGAGTTTATTCTTGTTTTATTATTTATTCTTGTATTATATTTTTTCATACAAACTACTGTAAACCTACTTTGCCCACCCCTGTATCTTTAGGAATAAATAATTTAAAAAATTTTGGTAAGATATCAGAAGAGAGGTTGCTGGGTCATATAACTCTATTCTTAATTTTTTGAGGAACCTCCATACTCTTTTCTAAAGTGGCTATACCAGCTGACATTCCCACCAGCAGTGAATGAGGGTTCCTTTATCTCTACAACCTCTCTAACAGTTGTTATTACTTGTCTTATTGATATTAGCTATTCTAACAGATCAGAGATGGGATATTATTATAGTTTGATTTGCATTTCCCTAATAGCTAGTGAACTTGAACATTTTTTAAATAATCTATTGGATCAAAGACCTAAATATAAGACCTGAAACAATAAATTACATGGAAGAAAACATAAGTACTAAATTTATAGACTTTGGTCTAAGAGCTTTATGAATTTGACCTCAAAGACAAGGGAAGTAAAAGCAAAAATGAATGTGACTATTTTGTTTACAGACAAAGATTTGAAGAAATCCTAGGTATCCTTCTCCCAGGAATGCTTGGTGTCAGGGGCCAGAATGAAGAAAGTAAATCGGGATGAGCAGCTTGCACATTAGTTGTCACTTGGAATTGTGCTTCCTTGTACATTTTCCAATATCCTTGATGGGTTTTTATGAGGTATATTCACACAGTAATTTGCTGAAAATAGTTATCTGAAGCAGGTTTCCAAATCACTATTGCGCATTAATGAGACTGTTGTTCTACAATTAGATCAGCACATCAGGTATTCTTGAAGGAAATGGCAAAATGGGGAAAAAAAGAAGACACCTAAGATGCAAATAGGATTGAGGGATTCACAGTAATGGTAGGATATGTTTTAAGTTACTAGGAAATTGTATACATATAATTTAAATCAAAGAGAGAGAGAGAGAGAGAGAGAGAGAGAGAGAGAGAGAGAGAGAGAGACTAACGAAAAGGAAGAAGAGACAGTTTTAGAACAGAAACTCTGTGTAGGCTTTTGTATTTGAACTTGAAGTTATGACAAAATTCTGCTATGTGTTCTCAGACTCGAATGTGTTTTGACATATATAGTTATATTTTTAAACTGTGTCTGACAGTCACTAACCCCAGACAATTGTAATTGCAGCTTATTTATTTTGTTATTTCTGAGTTTCTACGATATAGAGAAAGACTATGTATAATTCATCCCTCCAATTCTCCTACATTTTCTTCCCTTACATCCTCTCCCCTTGATTACCTGCCTTTTAATTTTTTAAAATATATTTTTATTGATTTCAGAGAGGAAGGAAGAGGGAGAGAGAGATAGAAACATCAATGATGATAGAGAATCATTGATCAG